AGTCCCGAAAATAACGGGACACCGTCCCGAGAAATTCACGTGCCGGGACTCTAATATGATTGGTTGACATGCACACAATGTGAAAATGTAAACTTCCGGCCTCGGACATGCGCACTGCATTACCGGAGAACAACATGTTGTCGAAATTAAACATATGAACAAGATCGACTGAAAATGACAAACTACACGACTAAATGACGACTGACCAGGTAATCCTTATAGATGCGACTAAACTATGATATATGTAAATGTTTAATTACCGCGATTCTCATTGACAACTATTATAAAGTACGTTATTATTGGAAACTAAAATGATAGACGCACGTCTAAAATCGCCATGTGTCGGTAGTACTGAAGTCAGATTTAACAGAACGAGCCAACGATGCTGGGGAACACAATAACAATTAAAGATGGTCCTGAATATAAACAACGTTAACATAGTGGCGTTACACAGGCATAGCCAACGTGGAGAAACTAGATGGTACTCACAAAGTCAACAACAAAACCCGTACTAAAACAGGCATAACCAACGTGGAGAAACTAGACGGTACTCACATAGTCAACAACAAACAAACTGCAGATGAACTAAACCCTTACTTTGGCTCTGTATTTAATGTACCTGAAATTGATGATGGTCCTGAATTTTCATCGAGACCACACCAGACTGAACTATCAAATATAGAAATCACCTTAGAACTCACAAGAAAAGCTATGAAGAAATTAAACCCCAACAAGTATCCTGGACCCGACATATTTCACCCAAAACTGCTTATTGAAACATCTGAAAAAGTCATTAAATCCTTGGAGATAATATTTAAACTAGAAATATGTCAAAATGACATGTAAGTCACCCCATCTCCTGTATGATTATTTCAGTATAATAAAACATTGACCAAGCTACAACTGACATATTTCCACCTGTCAATCAAAATGGTCTAACAATGACCAGGTATGCATACACGCTGCTTAGGTAACCATGCCAACCTACTAGGATATAATAGGAAAGCATGTGGTTGATTTACTTGAAGAAGATGTTCCATGTTTTATGACCATAAAACACAAACACTGCAAATAATTTCATTTTTTTTAATTTCTGTGACATTCCCTGGCCTTCTTCATCCCAATATCAAGGCCTTCCACATTCAAACATGCCAAAGTGCCAGGATAAGATAGTTCATCTGTTAAAATGGAAAAAAAATGATATAAGAGAACTGAACATGCATATTGGAGCAAATCATTTTCACCGAAACTAAAGGCTGATAATTAAGGAATTTCCAATCCCTATCACTAGTTTGTACTGGTATTGTATTCGTGGTTATTTAACTCCATATTATCAGTTGATAATTCTCAGTAAAAATTATTTGTTTGTAAAACTGTCAATATCGTCTAGTTATTGGTTTCCGCCCGTTATATATTTCCGCGCAGCCATTTTATCAAGCTATATCTCGTTACTATGTGGACACAACAAAGATATTTTAGACGTTTGGCCATCGTCTGTAAACTGACAGAAAAATTACCGGAGGTTCGTCCGGAAAACATAAGAATTAATCACCGATTAAAAAACATGCATAAATATGCAGTTTTGCTTAATACACTTTTTATCTTGCTCAAAATGAATCCATACCTGAAACAAGTCCACTGACATGAAGTTTAGAAATTAAACCAACTTATTGTAATGACTTACAGTGTATTGCTGCAGCTGTTGAAGTACTTCCTTCCATTTTAGTTTGTGTATGGAAATGATAAAATATCAGCTATCTTACAATGCTTAACTCAGGATATTTAGTGTGATCATGGTTTATTAAAGCATGTGTTAGACTGTTAGACTATAGGGGTGTAACAATGTATCGAAAAACCAGTATATCGCAGTACACAGGCCATATCGACATCGTATATATATATACATACATACATGCACAACAGTGCTGTTAAACACATTTGTCCTTACGTTTTGACAGGACACTGACAGGAATATTATTGGCAATAGCGATGTACATAAATATGACAATGTCAATGCCGTGTTTTGCCGGTACAGTATCGCCATGTGGAACTGTACCGGCAAAACATGGTATTGTTTTGTCGGTCCCTCGTGGTCACCACTGCCACCACACCGCAGAAACGATAACATTAAACGGTGTAGAGCGCTTTTATTATAAATTCTGAATATGATAATGTTCTACTTACCATGACCCTGCACTCTTCCGGTTTTCCATTTCAAGTAAAGTGTTATGTCGTAAAGTGTCCCAAAGTTGTAAACGTTGTCAGGCGGGATTTGAATGTTGATGAAATATTTGTTTGAATGATGGCGCATTTATTTATAACATATCACCAGGGATGTGTATTGGACCCTTTGAAATTATAATGTGACGGCTGAAAATGGTATGTAAATAAAAAAAAAATTAAAAAAAAATCCATAAATGTCGTAAACTTTTTACTTTGGACGAACTTGATTCAGGCGTGTCGTTTACCGCCGGGAAGGAGGCACCTACCTACTGATTACGTATGTCCCGCATGTTCGGCACCTGCCGTTCGATTAGAAGTTTCGCCGGACTGCAGAGAAATGCAAAGCGATACAAAATGTTATTTGTGTCCGCCAGATTGCGCGTATGCTTTAATGTAGTGTCCCGCGGCAAGCACAAACCCGGCATGTCAAATCAAGTTTGCCCTTTTGCTAGGTGACGTTTTCTTTTGTCATTGCGTGAATATATGATAAAGAAAAAGAGACGTTATTGAGCTTTTCTACCTGAACTTTTTACTCCGAAATTTAATTTGGTTTGAAAAGAAATTTTACCAATATAGTCATTGGTCAGACATAAACATCTCAATAAATCAATAGCAATATATAATATAACAGTTTACCCCTTTGGGAACCTCAAAGGTGACTGATTCATATTAGGAACATCTTTAGTTTGAAATTCGGAACGCCTTTTGGTTGTACGTTAGATCTATTCCTAAATCGATATCTGAGTTATCCAAAAGCTTGTAATTAGCGACAGAAGCAAACACACGAAAGCTGAAACAGTGGTCGGCAACAGAGGTCAAAATCTGGGACTGAAACCAAAATTAATAGTCCCCGCTGGGGTTCCCCCATTGGTGACTAAAATTCGATTGACGAAGGAAAGATTCCAGACGGCTGGAGAACTACCCATGTTACACATATCTTCAAGGGCGGAAACCACAACAAAGTTGAAAACTACCGCCCAATTAGTCTAATATCTATACCAGGGAATATCTTACAATGGCTTATTCGTGACAAAATTGTAGAACCCATGGACAATAACAACCTCTTCACTCTCCACCAACACGGTTTCGATCTGGGAAATCCTGTACAACAAACCTATTGGAAGTAATGGAACACTGGGTAGAAGCAATAGACAACGGAGAGAATATTGATACTATATACTTAGACATCAGTAAAGCATTTGATAAAGTCCCCCACAAATGCTTACTGAAAAAAATTCAAGGATACGGAATAACTGGTAAAATCCTCCAGTGGATTCAAGATTTCCTCTCAAATCTAAAACAACTAGTATCCATAAACGGTGAAATGTGTGGTCTGGTGGATGTAACGAGTGGTGTGCCCCAGGGTAGTGTCCTTGGTCCAGTTCTTTTTTCAATGACCTCCCTGATATAGTCAAACACAGTGTAGTTAAACTTTTTGCTGATGTCTCAAAACTATTCAAAAACATCTCTAGGCAAATAGGGACTGCAGAACTACAAACTTATATCAATAACATCGTCCAATGGACAGCAGATTGGAAAATTACATTAAATACCAAAAAATGTAAACATCTAAATATTGGTAATCTAAATCAAGATTTTACATATTACTTTCCCTCAGGTGAACAATTTGAGAACGTTACTAAAGAGAGAGAGACCTGGGTGTAATAATTGACAACAAACCAAAATTTAACCACCATGTGAGTCAATATGTCAACATAGCAAATCGCACACTAGGACTAATTTTTAGGACATTTACTTACATGGACAAACCTATGTTTCTTACACTTTACAAGAGTATCTTCAGGCCCAACTTGGAATATGCCACCCAGGTCTGGTCCCCTTTTCTGAAAAAGAACCAAATAGCCCTAGAAAATGTGCAGCGCTGAGAGCTACCAAAAGAGTTCAATCCCTAAAAAAAAAGTTCCGTATAATTTAAGAATTCAAAGACTAGGCCTATAACCTACATTGGAATATAGAAGAAAACGCAATGATCTAGTAGAGGTTTACAAAATAATCAACAACATAGTCATTGATATACTTGATAAAAAATTTCACCTTTGCACAAACAACAACAAGGGGAAACAATAAAATAAATATTCAAAAAACAGAGCAGGACCAGGGTCACTCAAAATGTTTTAAGTAGAAGAGTGGTAGATTTTTGGAACTCCAACTCAATAGTAGAAGCCCCATCTCGTAACTGTTTTTGGAAAAATATACCGTCCAAGTTTTATCCCAGTTTATATGCTACACAACCGGTTCAAACCAAGATGCGCCTACATTAGCTACTTCAAGCTAACATCGGTGTCGACGAAGAGGTAATCAGAGGTAAGATTATATATCGTTAGTGGCGCCCGGTTTTATTACGTACTTATTTTGGGCCAATCAGTGTCTTTCATTGTGATAGTAAATCTTTTCACAAGACCATACCAATGAGTATGACGTAAATATAGACATGTAATTATAAATGATTTGTTAAAATCAACCGTGCAGGTAACCTTAATGGGGTATTGCAGCAGAAAATACGAAACTAAAGTTTATAGTACGACCTTTGGCTAGCTCTACATGGATACCGGTACACTATGAAGTATGGCTTCCGTTTCGAGCAGACTACAATCTGAGTTACTGAAATGTTGCCGTTTCAGGCAATCTCTGAAGAAATGTTTGTCAATGAACATCAACATTATCCAAACTCGGCGCCTCGCTAGTTTCCAGAATGGGTTTACAGCGGACATATTGCAACGAGTAAGATACTGTAGTTGTCATATCGACCTTGGGCCACAACACATGTGTTTCGCAACGTTCCTTTTTAGCATAAAAAACATCTTTTTTTGTCTCTAAGTTTGGTATACGGGAGTTCCTGCAGTTTATTTATATTTAAATTTCAATTAATTTTAATGTGTGTCATTTTGTAAAAGCTTGCTTATAGAAAATGTAAAACGTGACTGATACGAAGGTTAAAGATACCTAGTCCAAATATCCACATATTGCTCATAACTTTCATGTTGTTGACGTTAGGTCGACAAGTGTGTCCAATGAGACATGTAACTAGGCTGCTACAAGTAATAATCAATTTCAGCACAAGTGTTAGAAATTCTGACTGTAAATTGAGATAAAAAAAAAATCACATAAAAAATAGGGGTATAAGAGCAACAGACGGTGTTATCGACCCCCGGATCTATTTATCTCGTTTTGGATCGATGACGAACCGTTTTTCAGACAATCGGTGGTTTTGATAGGTTAAACTTACCTTTTCGGAATCCCCCGGAACCGTCCATTCAGACAACACCGGTTAAACAAATTTTCTGAACCTTTTTTTCCAAAGAGAAGAATCGATCCTGTTTTTAGACCTCCCTTAAAGGCACCGATTAGATATGTATGGCACTTCAAAGTTTGATAAAAAAAATATCTGAAATATTTGTCACTGTCACATAATGATGTAATCCAACTTCACTCATGAAGCATCTGCAACGTTTGTCAGCATCTTATCTACATCCGGGGTATTGTTAATTGTACATTTCCTTATTGATTTTTTGATATGTTGACAACTTAAATTTATTTATATGTTTGAATAAATATATTTTTACATTATCCATATAACAATCTTAGAAAAAAAATGTAGTCTTAAACATCAGATTCGTTTGATGGTAAATGTTTTTTCTTGTATATAAAATAGATGAAAATTGGAAGCTAATGGATCACAGTAAAACAAGATTGATAATTTTTTTCAAACAGCATGCACCGATATATATAAAAATGCCTCCTTTGCACTTTAGCATGGAGGTGTGGTATGCGTACGATACTGTCATGTTTGACAAACTACAAGAAAGGCTGGGTAAGGATCGAATGAAATATATTACTGTTTGTCAGGTATAACTTAATCTTTAGCAAGGTAAAAAAACAAAACTGCACATTAATCTGTGTTTATTAATGACTTTTAAATTCTTAAGATTTCCGGACAAACTTAAACTTTAATAAAGTGATTTTGTCACTTTACAGACAGTACGCAAACCTTTAGAATAACCTTGTGTAGTGTCAAGCAAGTCACGTAGTCCTAAGATACATCTTGATAAAAAGGAAGCACGAAATATATAATGCATGGAAACCTTTGAGGAAACAATATTTTAGTAGTTATAGAGAAGGCATTTTTCATTTGATACATGACATGTATACATATATATAGAAAAAATCATGTTCTTATTTAGGATGCCCATGTGTAACAGGAAAGGATAAATGCAACAACTAGTCTGACATGTTTTTTCAGATATATATGCATGTCACATGATGGAAGGGGTGGGGGTTGGGGATCCAAAGGAAATCTGACAGCTGTCACAACAATTTGCTGTAGCAGAACTAGACCTTCTCGATCATTGGTCACCAGGTAGGAGTGTCCATCTATTGTTCGGAGGTACAGGGTCCCGGTGCATTTCCTCTACTGTTACAGTGTCACCTGTGACCAACTCTTGTTTCAAGTACTGCATGTACACTTGGCAGGGGTATACTTGAACCTGGCTTGTAAATAGTGTTGTATTCGGTGGAGAAGACTTTGTGAAAAGAGAGAGGAATGTAGTGGAACTGGACTGGGTCAAGAGTTTGGAGGTCCCAGGTTTTAATTCAGGTTTGACTGTGCATTTTCCTCTTCTGTTACACCGAAACCCTTGTTGTGCAGTCCCAGACTGAATATCTAATGAGAGGGTACTTAAAAGGAAAGATATCAACTCCCCTCTGCCCCATTCTGCTTCATATATACAAAATTTAATCTCGATTTTTTTTTATTAAACAAGAAAATTGATGCTTTATAGATAAACATTAGTTTTAATTAAACAAGGTATTTTCTTTTGTAGAATCCTTTACTAGTCTGTGTATGTGGAAACAAGATACAGTCAAGGGAAGTTCGTCTCTTCAGTGACAGTGCACTGTCAGACAATATCGGACGAAGGGGAGATAATCCTGCATCAGTGTCACCTTTTGGTTTAGTCGAGCCGGAATTAGATGAACTTTGCTCAAACATTAAACAGGTGAGGCCATGTTAAAAAAATGATGTGTAGAATTTTTCAAAACATCTTTATGACATACCAGAGAACGTATCACCAGTACAGGGGTTAAATGCTAATTTCCTCTTTAGAAGGTGACAGCTCTGTCAGTGTCGGATTCATTTCAACAAATTTACAGAGTTAAACCTTGCAATTAACACAAGAAAATTAGCTCAGCCTATAAAAGATGAATTACCTACTATCCCTTCTAGATATCAGAGGTAGATGCTCAGTACAAATACATTACTGGTAAATCAAATACATGACTTTTTAATACATTGTACTATACATTTGATCCATACTCATTTTTTTTTAATAAACAATGTGGTGAATTATGTACAAAAATTTGCGCAAAATATCTCGCAAGAAACATCAGTTCTCTTAGTAACAACTAACTAACATTCTCAGTTGTTGAAAAACAACTAGCTTCAATTTCCATGCTTTACAAGACCTTGAGAATGAGATAAGTAATCTTCTTCTTTTTTTTTCTCCAGAAATTAACACCACAGAATAAAGAATTAGCTGATATAACACAGTACTATTTTGATGGCAAGGGCAAGGCATTCCGTCCTATGCTAGTGATGCTCATGGCTAAAGCTATCAATGTTCATATGAAGAAATCAGCAAGGTAAGTACAATATCATCCTTTAAATTCCAGAGGTTAGGCTTTCTTATTTTCTCTGCACCCCTGGAATATGTCATGACAGAATGTGAACTCGAAAGCATTGTACGTTCCTCCTTGTGAGTGATACCAGTAGACTAGTTTGATCCTTATATGTACATCAAAAGAACCACACAACAGGCTAACTCTAAAAAAGACCGGCTTTGATGAATCGGTGTAGAGATTTGTCCGTTTTTCCTACCAGAAATCAATGAAATAGTTAACACTGTGCCTTCAATTTTATCATGACATTTAGTATCCCAGGGGTGCAGTGAACCTAAATTTGCGTAACCCCTGGAATTTCGAGGTTGGTACAGATTTGTCCAATATTTATATCATTATCAATAAAACATCAGGCTGAAGGCATGCATTATTATCTGGAAGAGGAAAGTGTACTGTGATTCATGAATATCATAGTAGAGAATTGATGGTCGATTATCTTGTTTGAAAGACAAATGGCTAAAATATATGCAAGAAAGATAAAGAGGTATGCACAATGTGCCATGTTAGTGCAACTTAGTGGGGTTTTTTGTAAAAAGATGTATTAAACTGTAATTAGTTTATATTTCAATGTTTCATTTCACAAATTTTGATTGTTTAAAATCAACATCAGCTAACTTTTTTATCTACCCGGTATTGGAAAGAAAATGTATCCTTGTTATGAATAGTTTTAAAACCCTTTAGCAAAGTCATTGTTGTCTTTTTACTCCATTGAAAAACTCCCAAGTTGAAAAGTGTTTTTTTGAAATCAGACCCGTTAAGAGTTTTGTTTTTGAATGCAATGTATATTATTCATTATTTAATACTGTATGCATTTGGACTTACAAAACAAAACTGTTGGGGAAAATGGTTATTGTCTAACATAGTTATATGAGTTTAACTATTTGTACATATCATTGTATAATAGATATTTCATCAAAGGCCTGTGGAATATCAAAGAGTTATATACATAGTCAAATTCAGTGTTAACTTAATTTATCTTTCTACAAAAAACCTGTCACTAGTTGATAAATGTTATCTCTCAAGTCATTAATGGATAACGCTAAGTATTCTTTAACAAGGACATAAAGCTTATATGTTTAAATATGAGTCACTCATGTGTTTAACAGTTTACTAGAGAGCCAGAAAGAGGTATCAATGATAGCTGAGATGATTCATACAGCAAGTTTAATCCATGATGACGTCATTGATGCATCGGACACCCGGAGGGGAAAGCCTACTGTAGATACTTTATGGGGGCAAAGGAAGGTCTGTACTAGTTTAATATTGCCAAACATTTTTTCAGCTGAAATTGTTATGTAAAATAGTTGTTTTCATAATCATCTGTAGTAGGTTATCAGAAAATTTGTATGTGGTAGTCAAAAATAGAAGAAATATGTGAGTTTTTTTTTATCACAATTATTCTACTTGCTCAAAATTATTTCCAGGTGAGAAAAATTATGTGCAACATGTGAAAAAATATGTTATTAGGTGGAACAAGTCATACAGTAGGTCTGTAAAAGTTCATACCAGTAATAGTATTTGATAGTATATATTCATTCCATTTATTTTATTAACAGTGTAATCCTGAAAGGACTAGCTGTTAATCAGTGATTAGCATTGTTTGATTTTGTTAAATTCATGAATTTTGAAACATGAAAAATCTTTTCCTTTTTTCCCACTGATTCATAAAAGTGTTGGTCTGGTTTAAGCCTTTCCTTTCTTTTCACACAGGCAATCTTAGCTGGTGACTACATTCTATCAGTGGCTTCCGTAGCTATTGCCAAGATCAGAAATGAAGAGGTTGTTTATATTTTAGCTCGGGTTATAGAAGACTTGGTTCGAGGTAAGCATTTTGTATTAATAGAATTTTAAAAACATATTGTAGGGAAAATCCTGGATTTGAGAGCAGTGGGATATTTCAGCCATTTTTAGTCAATATCAAAAATAAGAGGGGCCATTCTATGTAAAATTAACAGAAAATTGGAACATGGAGAGGTCAATTTCAGTATTGAGGGGTCAATGGCCCTATGACCCCCTCAAGGATTATTCGTGCAATATTGTATCATATCAATGTATCTGAACTAAGAGGTAAACATTTTAGGTTTCAATTTAAGGGTAAATGAATGAATAGTTCCTGTGCCACATTTTGCAAATTTCAAAATGATAGCAGTTATTATGTACCACTTTATTTTGATGCCGTGTATGCTAAGTATAACTTCCAGAATCAAGAAGTTAGCTCATGACTTCTCGAGCATCATGTACACTATAGATTTGAAGTAATAAGCGTAAATAATATTTCAATGGTCAAATTCTGTGCTGGTTAATATTACTTGTCAACAAACAAAATACTCGAAAAAGTTCTGAAATAAAACAGTAAAATCAGCTAGTAAATACCAGTAGTCTTAATATGGAAAAAATAACTGTATTACATGTATTTCATATTTTAACAGGAGAATTTATGCAGTTAGGGTCTAAAGAAGATGAAAATGCCCGTTTCAACCACTATCTCAAAAAAACCTTCAAGAAAACTGCTAGCCTTATAGCAAATACTTGCAAAGCTGTAAGTTTCTTATAGGCATGATGACATGTGTTTATATATCAGAAGAATAATCTGTACATAATTAAGTTAAGTTCAGTTAAGTTAAGTTTATTTCCGGTTCAGGACTAGTGAAAGTCCTCTATACCAGACTCTTATATTACACAATACATAAATATATATATTTCTATTCGGTACACGTTAATGTCTATGGTTTGATTAATGATTTGTAGTTAAAGAAAAGTTCTTGATGTTTCCAGTGGGTATCTAGCCTGTTTTAAATACATTTACATTTGGTGCGGAGACAACATTTTCAGGCAGATCGTTCCATATTGTCACTGTTCTTATTGAAAAAAAGTTTTTCCTAAACATCATTGTTGCACGCTTAGGGTATACTTTTTTGCTATGTCCTCTGTTACTGTGACGATCAGCGGCATCTTTCCAAAGTGTGATTGCATTACAACATTCTGTATCATATATTTCGTTTATAATTTTGTACAGTTCTATCATATCTCCCCTACATCTCCTGAAGGCCAACGTTGGTAGTTTAAGTTTCTCAAGTCTCTGACTGTAGGTGAGGTCTCTCATCCCCGGAAGGCACTTTGTCGCTCTTCGCTGGACTGCCATAATCTGGAGAGATAATTAATTTTGGTGTATTTTGTAGATGATTTTTATGATTAATAAAAAAAACAAATGAAAAAATCTACATTACTTTTAAATTATATGAAAAATTAAACAATTTAAGTTAACAACCTCTAACAAATATTGTAAAAAATTATGCTGTGGCATAAAAGGTCACAAAATGTCTTGAAATGGAAAGAATGTCAGGGATAACTTTGACACATTCCAAAAGTACACCCAGATATTATGGTCTTCACAGCTGCTTGGGTTTGGTAGAATCATAAGATAGTTTTATTTTATCCACATAACTTATGAAAATGAAACATTAATTTTTACTAGTGTTGGGAATTGGTTGAGATTTCAACATCGATGATCGGATATAATCGATTAGTGTCAACCAATTGATTTTTCAATTATTAATTGGTAAGCCTACCGTTGCATAATCCTTAAAAAAATATTACTTTTTTTAATAATGGCATGGCTTTTTCTTTTATTAATACTACTAATGAAATTTCAGCGTTGAAGCAACCCCTAACACTTTTTTTCCTGCTCTCTCTCTTAGTGAAAATGAAATTAGAACTCACACTTTTGGTTTTGAAAACAATCATCGATGTTGACATCTCATTGTCGGGAATCGGTTGCCTTTCCGATTAAATATCGATTATAATCGATCATCGGGACAACACTAATTTTTATCTTTTTATTTTTTTTCACAGGTGGCTGTCCTAGCTGAATGTCCAGATGATGTTGTAGAAATAGCATTTCAATATGGCAGGAATATAGGAGTAGCATTTCAGGTAAATGGACACTTGATGTTGTAATGAAGTCAGGATATATATCCACCAATCCTAAAGGGCAGGGAGTAGGACAAAAAAAGATGTATTTGAAGGTATTTCTTTAGTCAACTCTCCTTTAGAACTGTGTAATGGATATCAACCATATTTGGTTGGAAGCAAACTCTTAAGATAATGATTTAAAAAGGTGCAAACAGAGGGGATGACAGTTATATTTGTCTGAAAGCATATTTAAGTGGTGATGATAAAAAAATGTACAAATGGAGGGGCTTATCCCCAAGGGAGCTAAGGGGCATGATGACCAGATGATCTCCTTGATTGTCTAAGCTGAGGCATGAAGCAAGCCGAGGATTAAACAATCAATAATCAATATATCACTTCATGGATAGGGATTATTCTGTCATACCCTCATGGTAGGGGAAGATTCTATAGGATTACCATATGATGAGGAAGGTTAACACCTCTGGTCTCGTTGTTACTGACCTGGACTGTTATATCACAGTTAAAGATGACATATAAGACTTTTATCTGTGCTTCCTATAAGTCACTGAACTTAACTTGGTTACTAATCATCTCCTTGATTACCTTGAAATGGGCGGATTAGTCGAGTGGTTAACACTTCCGTCTTCCACGCAGGTGGCTGGGGTTCGATCTCCGAAGTCGTTGTACGCATGGAATATTCAGAGAAAGTGTTTTTCTCCTGCCCACACAACTCCAACAACCCAGCTGGAGTATAAAATGGTCTGGGTTGGATGTTGCTGTATCTGTGTGGTAGCATTCAAGTGAGGTGGCACTATAAATGATACCGTTGGAAGCACGGTTCCACTACAAGCAGAACACAATACATCTCCAGTACACAAGCAGGCATACACACATAGGGAGATATTAGCCAGGTGGTATATATAGGACTAGTAGTTAGCGCCTGATAAGGCAACTCCTTGCATATTCCTCAATATTCTATTGATTAATGTACATGCTTATTGTATTGATTGTATAAATTGTATATTTAGGTACTATAAAGCGCTTTAGAGTGGCTCATTCTGGTTAGATAGGGCGCTTTATCAAATGTTGTATATTTATCTATTTTATTTATATTTATTTTACAGTTGATAGATGACCTGTTAGATTTTACCTCCTGTGACCATGTGATGGGGAAGCCCACTGCTGCAGATCTCCGCCTTGGGCTGGCCACTGCTCCTGTTCTGTTTGCCACCAATCACCATCCAGAGCTCAACTCTATGATAATGAGGAGATTTTCTATGGAAGGAGATGTAGAAAGGGCAAGGAAAATGGTTGCTAATGTAAGTATTTTAGCTCATCATCTGATGATGGTGTGCTGTTCAATCCGCCTTTCCTTTGTGGTCCATCATCTGTATTTAAATCGATTAGTTTTATTAGGTCACCTCAGCTTTGCTCAAGTGACCTATTCCGATCACTTTCCATCCGTCGTCGTGCGTAAACTTTTTAGCACACCTGGCCTGAAGGCCAGTAGGTACCTGGGACGGAGTGCTATAAAGTTTACTCATTAAAATGACCTTGACCTACTTCCAAGGTCACTGGGGTCAAATATGTTAAAAACTTCAAACAACAATATCCTAAGAACCATTTGGACTAGAGACATGATACTTGGGAATGTTATGTAGACAGCAGTGCAAATCCTTTTTTCTCAATACCAGTAATGAGGTCAAAGGTCAACTTTAAGTGCAAGTCGGGGTCAAAGGTCAACATGGGTCAAAGGCTTTAACAATCTTCTTCTCAAATTCTACAAGTCTCAGCGTCATGATATTTGGCCAGTAGGTACCTGGGATGAAGTGCTATAAATTTTCCTCATTAAAATTACCTTGCCCTACTTTCAAGGTCACAGGGGTCAAATATGTTGAAAACTTCAAAGAACAATATCTTAAGAACCATTTGGACTAGAGTCATGATACTGGGTATGTTATGCAAACCAGCTGTGTGAATTGTTTTCTTTATAACAGTAATGAGGTCAAAGGTCAACTTAAAGTGCAAGTCGGGAGTCAAAGGTCAATATGGTTAAAAGCTTGAATAATTATAATTTCAAGTTTCGCACAACAATAATTTCAGAACCGTTTAAAAGATGTTAAAATGTCTTGTGTTCTAGTTACTAAATTTGGTCTTAAGTTACCTATATGTCAATTGCATGTAACAAAAGAAACAGGTGAGTGATACAGGCCCTTTGGGCCTCTTGTTACATTTTCAACTTCTTCTCAAGAACCAGTGGATGGATTTTTTTTAAACTTTGTCAGAATCATCCTTGTTAGATGAGGCTACAAAATTGTAAAATTGGGATTCCTACCCAAACCCCAGGGGCCTGGGTGGGGCCCCAAAGGGAAAATTAACCAATATTTCAAAAAAAATCTTCACCAGACTCCAGAGGTACTACAGTCATTTTCTCTGCATGGATGGAAAGATCATCAGGGGCTTTATTTAAATTGTAGATTTCAGGACCCCCAGGCCATCCCTTTTCCCCTGGGGAGGGGGTAAAGTTTACTATAGTTTATATAGGGAAATAACACTTTTGGGTATATTTTGACAACTTTCTGTAGGAAATTATTCTTACTTGGTGAGAATTATCCTTGGAGGAAGATAGTTTTAAATTGTAAAATTGGGATTCCTACCCAACCCTAGGGGCTAGGCAGGCCCCAAAGGGAAAATTTACCAATATTTCAAAAATCTTCTTCTCCAGACTCGGAGGTATTACAGTCAATTTCAGTGCATGGATGTAAAGATCATCAGGAGCTTTATTGAAATTGTCAATTTCAGAACCCCTGAGCCATCCGTTCCCCCTTGGGGAGGGGGTAAAGTTTACTATAGTTTATAGGCAGCTAACATTTTTGGGTATATTTTATCCATTTTCAGCAGAAAATTATTCAAACTTGGTCAGAATCATCTTTGGTGAATTAGAATTCCTGCCCCATCCCCAGAGGCTAGGGCAAGGCCCCAAAGAGAACATTTACCAATATTTTAAAATTCTGATCCTTTGATCACTTAGTATACATGCTGATTTCCACATCACATCTCAACAATAAAATAAAGCTACCAGTACCTATGGTATATAACTCAGGTGACCGCTAAGGCCCTTGGGCCTCTTGTTACTAATCCTCCAAAGGTGCTCAAAGTATCTTCTGAAATTTTGTATGTAGGTTTCCCTTAGTCCTTCATTGTGCATGTTTAATTTTGGGACTGTTAGGAAAACAAGATGACTGCCAGGTGACCATCTTCAATAGTTAAAGTTTGTTATAACTATTTCTCAAGAAGTACTTGGTGGATCTTCTCAAATTTCACAAGGACTTTTATCATGATCCTTAGTTGTGCATGATCAGTTTTGAGACTGAATGAAAGAACAACACGGCTGCCTAAATTTGGCAGGCAAAGTTTCTTAATGTTGTTTTCTAGACAGTACTGAAAAAGCTTTCTGGAATTTCACAGGATCGTTTCTCTTGGTCCGTAATTATGCATGTTAAATTGTGGAACTGAACCAAGAACAAGATGGCTGCAAAGGGGTTACCTTTTAAGCTGAGGGTTCAAGTTTGTTACTGCTTTCTAGAATAAATTAAAACATCCATATACTTTGATTCTACATAGTAGAGAAACCTGTATAAACCAGACCTACAACTTGGTCCCATTCTATATTTCTATGTATTAAAGTTGGATGGATGTAACTAATCTGAAACCCTGCAGAACTATTAGTCAGATGTTTGTTTGGGTAAGACAAGTTTCAACGGGTTATTATCCAAGCAAAACATTGTAGGTCCAGTAAGTTGACTGTTTGCTTGTATGTGTTTCTTAAGGATTACCTTGAATATATTTTACTTGTTATTGAGATATAACACAAAAATACAGAGTGTACTCTCCGTTTATGATGAAAGTACACTCCGGTTTTTTTTGTGTTATAGCTCCATAACATGAAAAATATATTCAAGTTTATCCTTATAATTTAATCTATTATACACAATCCCTGTGGAAATCCACTTTTATTGATGGGCTTTTTCTTTTAGAAATGATTGCGCTGCTGTATCAGCCAATCAAAAGTGATGTTACAAACGACGTCATTTTTAGCTCACCTGGCACGAAGTGCCAAGTGAGCTTATGCCGTGGCGCGTCGTCCGTCCGTCCTCATCCGTCAACTTTTCCTTTAAACAACTTCTTCTAAAGAACGGACAGGCCTAAAGTCATGATATTTGGCTGAAAGCTTCGTTGGTAGGAGCCCTACAAAGTTTGAGAACGAAAATAACCTTGACCTGTTTTCAAGGTCACAGGGGTCAAATATGTCAAAAACTTCAAACGAATTCTTCTAAAGAACTAAAAGGTATAGAATCTTCATATTTGGCTGATGGCTTCCTGGGATAGAGCCCAACAAAGTTTTAGAATGAAAATGACCTTGACCTACTTTCAAGGTCACAGGGGTCAAATGTGTCAAACACTTCAAACGACTTCTTCTGAAGAACTGAAAGGTATAGAATCTTTATATTTGGCTGGTGGCTTCCTGGGAAAGAGCCAAACAAAGTTTGCGATTGAAAATGACCTTGACCTACTTTCAAGGTCACAGTGTTCAAATATGTCAAACAGTTCAAACAGCTACATCTGAAGAATTAAAAGGCATAAAATTATAATATTTGGCTGGTGACTTCCCGGGATAGAGCTCACCAAAGTTTGCAAATGAAAATGACCTCAACCTACTTTAGAGGTCACAGAGGTCAACAACATTTTAATGGATTTGTTCTTGAGAACTAAAAGGAATGGATTCATAAGATTTGGCTGGTAGCTTTTTGGAATAGAGCTAACCAATTTGAGAAGGAAAATGACATTGACCTACTTACAAGATCACAGGGAAAAATATGTCAACCAACTTCTGAAGAAGAATCAAAAAGCATAGAATCTTATAATAATATTTTGCTGGTAGTTTCAACAGATGGAGCCAACAAAGTTTGCGAGGGAAATATTTTTAGTGCAATATAATATTTAATGAGAATATTTTGCTATGACTGCTTAAATATTCAGGTGAGCGATACAGGCCCTCTTGGGCCTCTTGTTTATGTTATGGGCTGATAACATAAATTTGTAAGCCAATGAAAATGCTTGTTACAAGCAAGATTAAATTATATCAGTTTATGAAACGATAAATTATTAGTTTTGTCTCCACTTGCAGAGTAATGGGGTGGAACAGACTCGGGTACTAGCAGAGGAGCACAGTAAGGAGGCAATGTACCAGCTTTCCCATCTAGCTCCCTCCGTATTCAGGGAATCCCTTGGCAATGTAGCTAATGCCGTACTCACACGTACCAAATGATGTGTGTGAACCATAGGATGAATGTAACAAATGTATTTTTTTATACCAAGATGTGAATGGTTGAGTTGGTGCTAGTTAAATTCTGTTTCAGCCAAAATCTTTATAGTATCTTTTATTATTAATTTCTATTATGGCCCTTTCCCGAGGGAAAGTGTCCAAGAGCTCTTATAAATTTTTATAGCTGATATTAATTTACCAGGTAAGGATTCCTGAAAACAAGTTTAGTGAATATGTCAGAAGTTCTGTTTACTTATCCTGATTTCCATTGCTGTTGTTATCATAAGATGGTTTTACCCTTAGAGAAGTTAGATGAACATATAACAGTTTAGTCAGAGTTTTTTTTTTTTTAAAAGTCACGCTTTTCTAAACTATAATAAGCATATAAGGATTTGGCTGTTACATGATAATACTGCCTATATGTGTGAGAGTGTTACGCAATGAATTTGAAGGAGTTACTTCCATACTACATTTGACTACCAGGTATTTATGAAGATGTATTCAGTAGTGGTTTACAGAGCAAATTTTAAGAAAATCTGATTTGATGAAAATATGCTACTGTTATACATGTATAAAGTCCTTATGAATTGAATTTGTAATTCATGCATTACTAAATCATATAACAATGGTAGGAAAAAAACACTTAGATTTTTATTATAACAATGTATATGTTCTTATTTTTGCAAATTGTTCTTTCAAAAATTTATTTGAAAGGATTTGAATTTGCAAAAAGAACCATGACAGCTATCTCTTACTTGTTAAATTGTGCCTGAGTAAAGTTTGCTCTGAAATGTGGTTTGTTTTAGATTAAGTACATTGAATTGAATTGAAGAACAATCCATGTTATTCAGAAAAAGGTATGAAATTATTTGATAAAATGGAAATATGATCTCAATAACTGAAATGATGTTACTCCGTGATGACATCTAAAGTCTTAACACATTGAAAAAACCTGGTAGAGGTAGATCCTCTCATTGGGCTTCATTGAGGTTGGCAATGTTTACTGTAAACATTTGTGCAAAGTTCACAATTATTGTGAAAATGTATCTCATGAAATTTTGAATGCAAGAACAGTGGTAATTTGAATACCAGGGCCCAGTTTTTCAAAAGGTGATTAGCGTAATCACTGTTTAACGACATTTTTTCAACCACTAGTAATTTTGGTCACCATATAAGGTAAAAGCTTATAATTTTGCATGCAGCTTACCCTCTAAAGTATTTGCTAACTCAAAAATTTAAACTCGGTTAATAGCTGTGTTTTAAAGATACACAAAAAAATAAACTTGCACTAATCACTGTTTGAACAACTGGGCCCAGGTAAGCAGAATACATCTTAGTACTGTAACTAGGCAAATGTAGTGGTGGTGGTGGTGAGTTAGGGTACACCAATATTACAAGCAAGATTTCAGATACCATTGGTAGGAAACATTTTACTAAAGTAACTCCTACAGTTTGCTCACATGAGAAATTTTTAATTTATCTTCTTTTTCTTTTTTAAATATTCTATATTTTGCATGACACTTTGTACAACACAGCTAGACAGTAAAATTATTATTCAGGAGTTATTTAGAAGAAATATCAAGTAATTTTGATTCGTAAAACAGCTGTGTTTGATGTCAAATCCTTTTCCTAGTCAAAGTTATAAAGAAAAAGATCGGTCTTTGATTGTAAAAAGAATATTCAAAAAGTTGATGAAATAGGTACACGGTTGTAATTTTAATTTTCGACCAGTAAAAATATTGTAATGCCATATGATGATGGTTAACTAATATATTTAAGAGAGTTTAGAGATGCTTACAAGGAAATGCGGTAGCACTCTCATCCTAAAACTTTCTGTAAGGGGCCAGATGTCTCCCCACATCACTTGCATAATTTTGTATAAAAAGTTCATTGTTGTCATGTGTGGTATGTTAATGTTGATTTATTTTCTTAAATGCAATAGGTGTGTTTTATAAACAGAAGAACTTAGGTGTGTGTGTCAAATGAATACTAATAATTTGTGGGATCTATGAATATGAAAACCTGCTAGGTCACTTTTTGAATTCTCCTGCATGCTATCCATGTCTGAATGGTCAGCAATATTTCATCCCTGCAACTTTTACCTCATACTTTCTGTATATAGTGCTTATATTTTGAGGGTGAAAACTAATGGGCAGCACTTTGATACGGGAGGGTAATGAAATAGTCTCTCAGAGTAGTGGAAGTCTGTTCATCTACAGAAGAATTCATCAATATTGAATATTTATGAATGAATAACATAAGTCTGTGTGTAATTCAAATGAAATGATAGATATGACTTAAATGTGTTTCAAAGAACAAATGCATGGGAAAAATTTTAGAAAAATAAGGCTGGTGTATAAATTACTATGAATAGAATAATTGCCACAATAGGCATCCTCCCTGTTTCTAAGAAAAAAAGAAACCTTTATATTAAAGGTGTCTGAACTATATTACGGTTAGTTTAAATTGTCTTGCTTAGGTAAGCACATTTCAATATTATAGCCTCTATATGGCTATTATCAGATATGAAATATTCTGTTAAACAGAAAAGATGTCTGATGAAGTATTTCTAAGGAAAAGAAGCAGAAAAAATGGATACTTAATGAAAGATTCGGTTTTCTAGTTGAAACCAGCTCTCTTTTAAGTATCTGTAATCAAACAATAACATTAAAAAAACAGGGTGCTTAATATGGCAAATACAGTAATTGTTTGATAGTTTTGTTATGTGTGAAATGTTTGCTGTGGATGGATCAATATGTTAGGTGAATGGTAATCCTGTATGTATATCTAATGGCAGCAAACTGATATACAATGATAAAGGACTTATGCTACATGTGAAAAATGAAACCCTACTTGTGATTTTTTTTATGAAATTGTTGATAATTTTTAGAAGAATTACACTTAAACACGTTTATAACAGTAAGTGTCCAGTTCCGCTGAATCAGTCATTCGTAAAATATTACTTATAATAAATTTTTTTTTATATAAGTGAAATTAAAATCAGGGATTCAGAAATTTGTCTTATATATGCATGTTTGTCGTAAAGGTGTTTTACTGTGTGTTGCTCTATACCCATCTCTGACAGGTAGTATTATGGAATTGTTCTTTGTCAATCCATCTGTTCATTGAGCAATCTGTTGTTCACACAACACCTATCCTTAATATGATGCAATATCAGTGGAACTTTATCAGCAGATATATGGAGGATAGAGGCTACTTTTGATCTGGAACACAAAGGCTGAATGAGCAGACCTCATGCACATCTGCAAATGTAATTAGCATATTGAAATTGTACTGGATTTCAGTTAAACTTGACCAGCTGATATCTTTTTGGAAACCGGGCCATGAATGGTGATGAGCAGAATTCATGCCAATTCTCAAAGATATTTCTTCAGGGCATATTCATGTACTATTCAGAGTCAGGACCCCAAATTTGGTGCAAGGCGACATCTTCAGTACTACATGTAGGAGTGCTCAGCATACCACATTTATAAGTAGATCACTGACCTTCTTATTTTTATTTTTTCAAATTTTATGTGGGTACTACAAATATGGTGGGACACCTTGGAAAGGGTGAGTGCAGTATGCATACTATAATTAGGTCACTGTAACCTACGTTTATGCCTGCCATCAGGGGTCACAATAAGGTTTAGCAACTTCATACAGCCCACCATAAACATTTTTGTCTTGCCGCCACGAAGTGAAAGCGAGACATAGGTGTTGCTTTTCCAGCGATGGCGGCGTCAACATGAAGTTTTTGCGTTGAAGTTACTTTCTCTGAAAGTATAGGTGCTAAACCAAACAAACTTGGACCCTAGATGCATCTTAGGTAATACATCTCAACCCATGCATCAAATGCTGTATGCGGCCAACCTTTCATGGTCCATTGACTTTGTCAGCATCTCCATCAACATTAAGTTTTTGCGATATGTGCATTGATGGTCAAAGCGGGGCACAGGCGAGACATATCAATCCCAATGGCTTGTTATTTCCATGCTGTTACTTCCCTATGCATCTTTGAATTTATATGGAACTTGGTCAGCGACTAAATACAAAGTTTAACTCTCAGAGAATCGCCTTTGTATTGCCTTTTGTTCCTGTTGTGGTGATGGAATGTGTTGATATTTAGCAACAGAGTAGCTCAATTGGAAGAGTATCTGTCTAGAGTTTAACTGCTGAGGTCACAAAGTTTGGTCCTGGTCTGGCTGTGCATATTCCCTGTCATGTTACAGTGGTTACTGTGACAAAATCATGGTTTCAAGTATGGGATGTACGATTGGCAAGAGGATACCTGAATCTGGGTTGTACAGCAGAACTGGACTGGTTCAATCACAGCAACCAAGTATATCAATTGGTAGAGCACTGGAGGTCCCAGGTTCAAATTCCAGTCTTCTCCTGTTACATTCCTATATAAGGTCAAGAATAAAATTTCTCTATCTTAGTACTAATATGTATTTTGTTGCTAAACTTGTTTAAATGCCCATATTTACTAACTTTTGTACGAAACAAAATAACTTTTCCTCTGAGCAGGAATTCAGTTTGCAGAAAAATTTAAACCTTCAAATTTGTTTTACTTGGGGCTGTTAAAACTACTAGAGATTAGATGACACAAAATCTCCCAAGATATTTGCAATAAAGAGGAAAAAGTTTAAGTTTATACATGTACAGTAAAACCAGTTATCCTTTATAATTCCAACATTTTCCACAGAAATGTTGGCATTATAAAGGAGTTTGGTGATAAAATGAGGGAAAGGAAAAGGAATTCTTAAGAAAAGGAGACCTTGAACTATGGTGGTAGTAAGTAAGTTAGTCCTCTTCGTGCTGGTTTGCACATAAGGCCATCACCAGAGATTTCCATTTATGTCTTCTTAAGGACCACTGGTGTATTTGTCCACATGTCCAGTCTTTCTCTTTTAGTTCTTTTTCAACAGACCATCTCCAGGTTTCCTTTGGTCTTCCTCTCTTCCTTTTTCCTGGTGGTGTCCATCTCCTTGCTACCCTAGGGATGGAATCTGGGTGTGCTCTGGAGACGTGTCTAATCCACCTCCATCTCCTTTGCTTGACTTCTTGTGATACAGCTCCTCATTTGAGATGGCCAGAAGATGTTGGCAGTAAGCGGGATGGCAAATAAAATGAGGGCGTTATATAAAGGTTTTACTGAATTATACTTTGGATGCTTATTTCTCAGGCACAGAATTACAATCGGATACAAAGGTAAAATAAACTGCTGTATGTTGATGGTCCTTAGGAATGAGGGTTGTAACTTCTTACTTAGTCTGTTGGAAATAATTGAAACATGTCAATGTCACAATGTCATTGGAACAAGTATAAAAAGATCAAATGTGTTACATTACCTACTTTGTTTATTCATGACTAAAATTTCTACACCTACATTATCATGACTGCTGACAGTCATATCTTGGACCTTGGTTCATACTGTAAACTCAGGATTAAATCTCTACAGCTAGCTTCACATTTATTGTTTGATTGAAAATAGAAAAGTGGCATTATTTTACCCTTATTTAGTATAGTTAATGAATTTGAGTACCAAAATGTCTCTTAAAAAAGTACATGATGTATTTTGTTTTGTACTATACTCTGCTAATTGGCTATATTCCATAGGCATTAGTTCAACTTTTCATGTGGTTATACATTGATGAAAATGACATGTTTTAAAACATTTACTTTCATGCTCACATGTTACTAACTTGCGTAGAATACAGGCTTATATCTCTTCAAAGCAGGAATTAAGTTAGTTTGTTGCAGAAAATTCAAACTTTCATATTATTAAACTTGGGACTGTTAAAGCTACAAAGGTGACACCAAAGTTTCCATGATATTTACTATACAAAGAAAAGATTAGCCCTTAGTGCTGGTACGGTGCCTTCAGAAAATGATCCTGTTTCTTTTCATTATGAAGTAATGGGAATTTTCTTCATAATATCAGTATTATTATACAAAATGCACAGCTTTTAAAATAAGTTTTAAGTGGAGAAAGTAATTTTTCAGATTTTTTGCAAGTTAGGATTAATCTTTAGGAAAAAATGATGGATTTCTGGTACTTGTGAAAATGTTGGCAAACTCAGGGCTCATTTAAAGATCAGACTGCTTATGTTTTATGGGTTTTGTCATTGATTGACATTACTGTGATATTTTTTTTAGTGATCTATATACAATGATTATATTAGGGGAAATAATTGCCTTATTCGTCAATAAATGGATGAATAAAGTTTTAGTCTGATTTTTGTTGTAGTTGTTTTTTGCATAAATAACATTTCCTTTCACTCGGAGCACATGGTACGAAAAACATATTCACAATGTAATAAGGAAACTGGAATAGAAAACAAATTGTAGTTAATGTCAGATATTTCAAATTCATATCCTTGCAAAACATTGTTAGCACAACAAAAACTGAAGTAATAAACAATGTTTTGTATAAGCACACAGAACACTAAGTATCAGCCATGAAATTATATCTTTAATTTACAGTTATCTCCGATAAAGATGTCTCCATATTGAGTTTCAAAAATTACCTTAGCTGAAAGATATCGGGAATTACGATTGTTTTTAGTATTAAATAAATTCGTAATTTTTCCACAAAACTCCATAGATGAGTGTCAGTGTAATGAAAATCAGTTTTGGACATGGAATTGGCCCATAACGAAAAACTGCCATAAATTAAGGTTTAGTTGAACAACTTTCCCGTCATGAGATTCATGGCATTATGGATAGAATATTGCTTCTTTTATTTAATTACATTGGTACAATCTTTTGGTTGAAAGAGCGGGATGTTTTCATAAAGGTTTTAATATTCACTGCTAGTCATAGTTTTTCCACCTCCAGCTCGCCTCATATGAAGGACCAGTCAAAGTGAGCCTATGCCATGTGCAGCGTCTGTCAACTTTCTCCTTTAAAACATTACTCTTCCTGAACAACTCATCAGATTTTATTTAAAGTTGAATCCTTGGGACTAGAGAATGATTTTCTTTTAATAGAAGAGTGTGACCCCATAACTTTCACCATATTTGGTATGATACATAATAACGGGGCAAGAGGATTGTTAATTCAATATAGAAGAATTTTTTCTCCGAAATATTTGACATCCCATTACCAAAGGAAGAAGTTTCAATTCAAATTTATTGAGACAAACTTTATAGCCCTTCTTATCAGCAGGCTAAACAATGTCATTCACCCAAGCATTATTAAGGCCATGCAATTGCCATGACCCTATGCATTAACCCCTGTCACATTGAATGAGGTCAAGGTCATTCATTTGAACAAACTTGACAGCTCCTTATCATTAATTTTGGTTGGTTGCATGGACCAATAATTTAGGTACATGAGTAAAACAGTATAGGAAGACACATAAATCATTGGTATGTTTTATTCATTATTTAAGCAAGCTACCTAATAAACACTTGGTCATAACAGTATAATGCTTTTTTATGGATTTTTTTGTGTTTTGACAGTGTAAATCGTTGCATTGTGTTGGAATTTTCACTTGAGCAATAATGCTGCAATATATGTCATTTTGTTCACGTATGCATATTTACAGCACATACAGTGTGAGTGATATTTCTTTCATTTTCCCACATCATTGTTGTTGACTGGGTCACATATAGTTATATAGTTCAAGCACTGAGTATAAACATGACCAATTTAAAGCTATAATGTAAATTTCAACTTATAAAGTTTTTTCAACACAGTTTTGATTTAACAACATTGATGAGCTCAGGAAATACAGAGTTCATAAAGTGTCCTCGGTCAGAAAACTTGTGCAGTGCTGATTGGAGTCCATCTGCCACTTGCTGGTGCTCTTCCCATTGAATAAAAGGGTCATCTGTCGACCCAAACTGAACTATAAATTCTGTATTGGCCTTAATTTTCTCCCATTCCCAAGGTCGGCTGTAATATCCACTCTCCCGCTCGTTTTCGTCACCAAGGTCAGTGATGCAGGCCGAGACCAATATGATGCCCTTGACCTTGTATTTTTCTGCAAATCTCATGGCAGCTTCGGCACCAGAGCTGTGCCCAATGATAATTGTTGATTCATCACATGACATTTCGCCACGCATGAATGGGATCCAGATACTCTCCCGAGCAGTTATGGGGTCAGGCATGTTACGGAGGTCAGCGGTCACGCCGGGAATGTCATTTATTTTCTCATATGCCCAGCCATACCAGTTTGCACTGAAGACATCTCCAGCTCCATTCCCAGGAATAATGGCAACCTTCATTATTGTTCCTGCAGAAGAAAAAATAATTATAACTGCAATGAACACTGGATGCAAGCATATGCCTGTCAAAAATTAGGATAGGGTGTATTTTGGTGTCACCTTCATTTATCTGTCTGTTTAAACTTTTTTGTTTCCACACAAATAACTTTTTTTTAAATTTCATTAGACTTCTTTTTTTTTATTAAACTTCATAAGCATTTATAACATGCAAATACCAAAGGAAACTCAGATACTGAATAAAAGTAATACATAATAAATAACATTAATTATATTGCATTCTGATATGTCAATATCATTATTATTCATTTTCCCACAATAACTTCCTTAAATTTCATCAGATTTTGAGAAAACTTCCATATACAAGTAACCAACAGATTTTCCAGGAACAGACAAATAAACATGGTTCCACCAGAGACCTTATATACATGAATTAACACACTGTTTGAGCTTGTATTCAAAGAATAGGAGAATATCATTTCTATAATTCAACTCACTAAACAATTTGACATGGTAATCAGACAGACTTGATATGTGACACAGTATGTAAGTTCATCTTAATTCATTTCATTGCAATGATGAAAACTACTATTTTACCAGGGTCACATTAATAACAAGACAACAAAGAATGTAAGTGTTGGACATGTGTGTCTTGAAAGTTCAGAGGTTGCTATAACCACAAGATATTAAGATGCAAATTGAGTATTTAGATCTCTAAGGAAGGTAAATGCACCAAGAATAGGAGAAAATAAGAAAGCCTTTTATTATTCAACTAATCACTTATTAACAACTTCAGTGTTACCTACAAAATGAAGGCAATAATTCACATGTACAGATGAAAATGATGAGGTGGAGTCCATATTGAAACATACTGAAACAACCTATGTAGAGGCTGACTATAAAACAGACAAAACCATTTAAAATAATGGAGAGCAACCATAGATATCTGAAGATTCTTAGGTGAAGATAGAAAACAATAGAGTGATAAAATGTTTGAGAATTGAAATTCTCTTGAGAAAGAGCCCAGTTCAGTAGAATAAATACAGTAAAAGATGTAACCATGACATTGAGTTATGAAGGGTAATTAAAGTAAACATGTTGCATGTAGAAAAACAGAAGACAAGGAAAGAGCGTTTGAGGAAGTTTTGAATAGGTGTATATCCCAATAGTCAATACCAACCACAGAACGGACTCTTTATATCAATTATTGGTTAATAAAATTGACACTTGCACCAAATAGATCAAAGACGGAAAAATAAAGAAAGGAACAGCAAATTAATGTTTATAAGAAAAGGAAATTTTGTTGGACAAGACACGACAATAGCTGAAAGCAGATTAATCGGATGCAACTGCCAAACAGCCAGAAAACAAAATATACCGTATATGGGAAAAAAGGACCCATTTTAAAAGTTTATTGTTTCAAATAAAGGAAATCACATCATACAAGATAACTCAAGGGGGAAAGCAAGATCAGAACCAAGTAAGATCTAATTGACCAAATGCAGACATGAAATTGACAGCTAGCATATGTACAATAACGAGCAACCATAAATTTATGAAGATTCTTAAATTAGGTGAAGATAGAAAATGACTTATAGATTAAAATATGGAAGGAGAAAAATCACAAATCAGCAACTTTCAATGATTGAAGAATAGAGCAATTTTAGCTATAGAAAAGAACTCTACATGATATTGGTGACTTTGTATATATAGAGATGAGTCTTGTGAAATCATATGAAGACATGGAATATAAATTAAACTCAATGCAATTGTGAAACTACATAAATGAACACGACAGAAGCTGCAATAGAATAATATTGAAAAAAATAAAGTATATCATTATGAATACATGCATGCAACATGTAATCACTATTTTGCTCATGAACTCAAGTCAATTAATACCATGATAATTAAATTAAGACACCACAGTAAAGGTCATTAGACTTGACATACTTAATACTGACAATAAGGAAATTGTACATGGCAGAAGCAGAGACGTATATTATGTAATATACGTCTCTGGCAGAAGTTAATACTTTAAGAATTATCTTGCAAAATAAAAAATCTTGCTATGGTGTAATAAAAGATATTTTTAATTTGTTTCTATTCAAAAAGAAATTCTCTTCTATTTTAGTAAGGTTATGCATTTATTTATGTTTTCAGTGCAATTTTAAATCAACCTCTATTGTACTTGATGTATATATTATGGTAATGTATGCTCAATTCTGTTTATGTATTAATCTTCAAATTGGAATACAGATAATATTATTTGATTATTGATAATAATTTTGAAATGTAAGGCCTAAAGGATAGATTAATCAGAATTGTTAACTAGAAGATATTATCATAGCAGAAAATTATTTAATTGCTTACTGACAATGACCACATGCATTAATGTCCGTGTCAATGGCAATGTTTGTATTTATGAAATATAGATAGACTAATCGATACACAATGGGGGTCTTGTGCGCGCATAAACAAAGGGATGTCATCACGTAGAGTAAACTTATTAGTAGTAAATACACCTGACCACGCCCCCTTGCAAGCGTAACACTATAAACGCAGATATTTTCTTTATCGTCCAATGTCTTCATTAATAGAATATGTGGAAGAAATTTGCAATAACTCTTCTGATGAACATATCAGCAAGAACTAATTTTCACCTTTTCAACGATTGTCAATTCAATAAAAGGTAAACTTTCCACAAGTTCTCACGGGCCAAACATATACACGTGGTATTGTTATTTTTCATTGAAAACAAGTGCGCGCGCAAAATAGACTAGAACTCTGGGATAGCATTGATGGGCACGAATGGCCGCCATGATGGATTTTGTGAAACATTTCAAAAATGTAACATTACAGTGAGATTCGTGAGCCTCAGACGACTATGTGAGCATGGTAGTAAGGCTCAACCAGATGCCGGTTGTGTATTCTAGTGGTTAGTGCCACGAAAAACTGTATATTATTGTGAATTTGCCTTGATAATACAAGGCCAGCTACGTGGACAGGCTCATTAGCATATTTGAGGTCAGGAACGATGAGTAAGGTATCGTTTCGAGCTCGGGCGCTGGACGCCACGAAGGCAATGGCAATTTTCAAGGCGGATGAGATACCTGACCTTCCAGATTTTGCAACGATCAACCGATCGGTGCCACAGATGCCAACTGGAATGGAGAAAGAGGAAGAAACGGTACGCTTCCTTATTGAAGCTTTCTCGATCACTGATTGGCCGCCATATTGGAATGGCGCGATATTCGCCATTTTATTTATTTCATTTTCCTGTGGATATGCATCTTCTGTATGCCTATTGTATGAATTCATTGCATAACTTTAACGACAATTTAAGTTCGAAATGACTGGCAACGTTTTGGAAACATTGTTTTGCAGCTCATATTAATTCAATCACGTGACCGTGTGTATATGGCCGCCATTTTGAACACATGGAATACACATTGTTTACTTACAAGTGTGTATTACACAAATTGCGCTTTGTTGAAGAATATCAACAATTGACAACATATCAAAAAGCGTATTTGAGATTATATTAAACTTCTGATCATTCTGAGCATCCTTGTTTTTAAACGGTTTTTATTTCGATTATTAATAGAGCAAAAAATACACTAGGCCTAGGCTAGGGTAACAGGTTGTTTCGTCCCAAATCCCGTTCGCCCTAGGTTGTTTCGCCCTAAAAAAATTTTTTTTTTAAATTATGTCATTAATATCATGTTAAAATTTAAAAAAAAACTTATCTTTCTCTTGAATCAAAATATAATTACGTGCCGGAAGATGAAGAGCGAACCTGTACATACTAATATAATACAGATTAGGTATGGACATATAATGAAAATAAATTAATTTCTCTCTTAAGCAAATAGATACATATACGAAATGGACATAGATTAGGTACAATATGTTTCATTACACTATTCTTATTTATTTCTTAATTAAATTCAATATATGTAATAATGTGTGTCGGCGTGAAGAAAATGACGTATTCCATTATTTTTTTAATAAAACTGATTTTAATGATATGGAAGACTAAGAAGACTTTGTGACTTAAAACAAATAACAATGAAAAGAAAATACCAAACAATGTTGTGCCCTAAAAAAATTGTTTAAGGGGGGAAACTACCCGGAACCAGGCCTAGATCCCATCTTCCACTTCTCAATAAATCAGGAAAAATACATTTTTCTAGTTATGCTGTTTGGGCATGATTATGAAGAGCTAAATTGTATTGAAAAAGGTTGTGAGTCACCCAAGCATTAAGTAATGTAAACTAAGGTCAATCGCTGAATATGTGAATTACTGGATATTTTGCAATATTCATTGTCAGGGGCTGAATTATGTCCCTTTAATCAATAATATTATTTGGGTACATAGCTCCTACTATACATTATAACACAAGTAAAATTTAGCAAATTGGAGAACTTTAAGAAGGGGCAGTTTGTATCCTTGCAGCATTTATTAAATGTAATAAAATGATTTACATTTATGTCAGTTTTTCATAATTTCTGTGTTCAGGTTCAATATGGTGAGGAATATTTGAATAAACTAGTTGAATAGTCGTGAATAAATTGTGTTAATTCTCGCATGTCAAAAGCATTATGT